CACCTCTCCAGCTAAGTCTAGTCCTCAGCTCATGCATAATTTTTGCAGCCCTAGGTAGGTTCAGGTGCCTGGCTTATCTGAAATGCTCTAGTAGGTCAGCTCCCTTCTGTTAGTTAACACTTCTCTATGTTCTAGAAATATGTTAAAATATCTTGTTCATGCTCCTGTCAGTTAGGGTACTTCTGGTGCAGGTAGCGGAAACAGTAAGCTTACATAAGAAAGAAATTCCTTATCAGATATAACAAGAAGCCCACAGGTGAAAGGTACACACCCTAAAGACTGCCCCCTCCCTCCTCCCTGCAGTCTTTTGGCTTCTCCTCAAAGCCCTGTAGCAAAATGGCTGTAGCAATTCCAGGCACCTCCAGATACAGGGTCCCCAAGAGGTTGGGACCACTTTTCCTTGTCTGTCTGTCTCTCTCTCTCTCTCTCTCTCTCTCTCTAAAATATTCCTTGTGTTTCAGAGCAGTTTTGGGTCCAGAGCAAAATTGAGCAGGAGGTACAGAGATTCCCCATGTGCTCCCTGCCCTGTACACGCAGCACCTCCTCCCCCGTCAGCCTCTTCCACCAGAGCCTTGTGTCTCTTTCCAAAAGGCCCCCATTCCCAAAAAGTGTTCTTTTCTTTGTCATACCCTTTTCTAAACTGATCGTTATTAGCCAGGATTACAGAGATTCCTGTTAGTTAGGGGTAAATGGGTGCTGGGAAGTCATCACCATAACTGTCACCATTTTTCTGCTGATCTCTTTGTTCTTTGGCGCCAGTGTCTTTTTTCCACCCCTTTAGTGTCCTTTTAGTAGGATGTGGGGAGTGAAAAGAGATAATGTGTGATCCCCCTGCCCCATTTTACGGGAAGTTCTTCATACTTCCAAGTTCACTGCAACATCATTCACACAAGCCAAACTATGGAAACGACCTTCACGTCGGTTGATGAATGAGTACATAAAAATATTTTGGTATATCTTACACAGTGGACTATGATTAAGCCATTAAAAATTGTCAGCACCGTGGATGGGCCTTGAAGACATTATGCCAAGTAAAATAAGTCAGAGGAGTGTATGTTTTCACTTAAATGTGGACCCTAAAAAAGTCAAAGTCATGGAAACAGAGGGTAGAAAGCTAGTTGGCAGAAGCAAAGGGATGGAGGGGTAGATGCTGGGCAACTTTCAGCTATAAGATGAATGAATACATTCTGGAGACCTACCGTACAGCACGGTGACGTTATGTAGTTGATTAAAAAGTACAGTGACACTTGAATTTTTTTATTACAGTAAAAGACACTGCCATTAATCCCCCTCAGAATACTCCCATTTGCTTTGAACACACTTATCCCATGGTTCCCTCTGCTTCCTGAAGCAGCTCTGGAGTCCTCTTTCGTGAGTGTCTTTGGTTGTGCCGTCATGGCTGCCTTGGGTCCTCAGTCCGTTCCAAACATTTACCTTTGGTGAGACTTTGAGAGAGTCAGAAGTCACACGCTGCCAAATGCAGTGAATACGGTGGGTGAGGACACCACAATATTTTTACAAGCCTGCCTTTCCGTTAGATGGCACTCAGCAGCAGCGTTCTCTGCATTTTTTTTTACACCTCATAAAGACGCTTACGGGAGAGGACTTCCAGAACCGCTTCCGGAAGTGCAAGAACTAAGTGGCAAGAATTAAGAGATAAGTGTGTTTGAAGAGAAAGGGGAGAAAAAAAAAAAAAGAAGAGAAAGGGGGTATTTTGAGGATTAATGGCCATGTGTCTTTTACTGTAAAAAAAAATTATATTTAAACATTCATCATATATTTTGATCACCCCTCATATTTTTTTGTTTGGTTGGTTGGCTTGGTTTGGTTTGGTACTGGGAATCAAACTCACCAGCCTGCACTTGCCAGGCAAGCGCTGTGCCCCTGAGCTATATCCCCCACCCCACCCCTTGTATTTAATAATACCGTGTGATGTACTTGCAACTTGGTAAGGAAGTAGATCTTAAGTATCCTCACTATGAAAAAAAAGGAGGTAACCATAGGAAGTGATGGCTATGTTAACTAACTTGATTATAGTAATCATTTCACAAGATGTATACATGTATTTCATTTCACAAGATATATATATGAAATCATTACTTTGCATACTTGAAATATATGTAATTTTATGTATTATACAATGTATACCTCAGTAAAGCTGGAAAAATAAAAGTACACAAAAACACATGACTTCTTTAGTAACTTCCTTACATATATGTATATTATTAACTCTCTTTCCTTTTTGCCTTTTAACTTTTGTTATGGAAATTTCTCCATGTGCAGAAAAATTGAGAGAATAGTGTAACGAATGCCCACCTACCTAGTTTTAAGTTGTTATATGAATATTTTGGAACATGTTGCTTTTTCTCCATATTTTGATGATATATTTTGAACTGAGTTGCAGATATAATGGCATTTCACTTCCAAAGGCTTCCAGAAGCATCTCTAAAAAGTAAAGGTAATTCGCTGTATATCCATGATGCTGATATCACACTTAACAAAATCAGCTGGCTTTCATCCTGCAGGACAGGGTGGTCCTGTCATGAGGAGGAGAGCTCCAAGAAGAGCCGATTAGAGCATTTGGAAACAACATAGATGGTCATCATTAGCAGTTGCTTAAATACGACATAGCCATACTACACAGTACTATGGAGAATACACAGTACACAGGAGAATATTTTTTTGAAAGATACATGGAAAGATTCCCACAACATCACTAGATTTTTTTTAAAGTTTTTCTTAAAATAATATGTACACAGGCTGGGAATATAGCTCAGTGGCACAGCGCCTGCCTGGCAAGCACAAGCTCCTGAGTTTGATTCCCAGTACCAAAAAATAATATGTACAACGTGACCCAGGTCTTAGTCTAAAATGCATGTGCACAACTGGAAGTGGTGGTGCACACTTGTGATCTCAGCTACGAAGGAGTCTGATGCAGGAGGATCACAAGCTTGAGACCAGCCACGAGTGTGTGTGCTCGGTCATGCTGCACGCACGCATGCACACACAGCGGATGCTAGGAAGAACATAAATCACAGTGCTAACAGCACTTGATCCGGAGTGTCAGGGGGGCGATGCTGCGTTCTGTCTTTCTGTGTTTTGGCGTCATCTGAACTGTATTACTGTCTGCTCTCCAGCTGTAAGCGAGTCATGGAGTTTCCCCTTCCAGCAGAGGAGCAGATATTGAGCAGGTGGGAGGGAGGGCCTTGAACCTTCCACCCTTAGCATGTGGGATGAGTGGCATTCTCACTTTTGTAAGTGCGGGAAGGTCGGTAATAAACAGCCATCCCAACTGAATTTTTATGACGCTGCAGAACTACCCGTGGCCTTGTTCTCCTTCGTTTTTGTGGCCAAATATATAGAACACAAAATGTACCATGTTAACCATCTCTAATGTGCAGTTTAATGACATTAAATATGTTCACCATGGTGTAGGGTGGCTATACCACCACCCGTCCCCAGAACTGCTTCATTCCCTCCTCTGAGCCTCCGTACCCATTAAAGGGGTACTCCCTACCCCTCCTTCTCTCTAGCTCCTGATAGCCACTATGCTATCTAGTATACACGGAATCATAAAGTATTTGTCCTTTGTGCTTGTTTACTTCCCTTAGCATAATGCCTTCAAGGTTCACCCCGAGGCATGTAGTGAGCATCAGAACTGCATTCATTTTGGGGGCTTGAATAATACTCCTTCGTATCTGTACACCATAACTTACCCACTCAGCGATGGGAGACGTGTGGTTATTTCCACCACGGTGGCTGTCTTTTTAAGTGACTGTGCTTTTGGAATCTGCTTTGCACTCAGGTATCTGAGACCTGAAAACATTTCAAAGCAACACAAAGTCCAGGGAGAAAATGAGAGAGAAAGGTAACAAGTCAAAAGTGCTCCCTCATGGGATTTGAAAGGGCAGCTTTCAAAGCAAAAAAGCAATTTTCTAAAAAACAAAAAAACCCTCATTTTTCTTCCCAAAATCTTTCTCTCCCTGTCTTTGCCACCTCTCCCTGATCAATCATCTGATGAAAGTGAAAAAGTAGAAAAAATAGCAGCAACTATTCCTCTTCTAACTTTTCTAATAATACAGATGTGTTTGTTTCCATTTTTGGCTGGCTTTGTTCTTTACTGTTTAGAAATACATAGTGCTACCTGTTGGTGTGATGTGGCTTTTTTTATAACCATAGTCATAATTGAGACGACATCTGTTAGGTGATCTCAGTCTCATGAAATTAAATCCATTCCTTCAGGATCAGGGATATAACTTAGTGGCACAAGTGACTGCCTGGCAAGTTCAAGGTCCTGAGTTCGATTCCTGGTACCAAAAGTCAATAAATAAACAAGTCCGTTCCTTCACTGAGAAAAATCTCCCTCCAACACCTGTAATGAACTGACCAGGGAGTAGATAAAGTGGCTTATCAAAAATTAAATTGAAACAGTCATTCTCAGAAGATACTACTAAGCTACACAGAGATTGGCATTAAGAAACTATGGATTAAGAAACGGTGGCAGAATGGACCAGTGGCCTGTCATTGTAACAAAGCCGTGTCTTCATGCCACTCTGATACATTTCCTAAAGTTGTAGTTTAATAGCAAAGAAAGCATTCACAGGCCTGTTTCTTCATTATAGATATTTTATGGGTGGGTTGATCATGCTCACCTGCTTGCACTCTTAAGGCAAGCAACTGTATGTGGCAAGTACAAATTACCTCCATGCAGATGGGTGAGTTGTAACTGGACTTACAGGAGACAAGTTTTGGCGACAGTCCTCACTCACACACGGCCTCTCCCACAGACCTGTATTGTGCCCCTAACTCCACCATCACTGGTCAGAGCTGATCCCCCGACCTCTTGGCCTTAATCCTTTCTGTCTTGCAAAGTTGCCGTCTTCCGGTCCTTCCTGACCTAGTGGCTGGGCCGATCAGGCTGCTCTCTGGACGCCATGAAACTGGCTGGATCCTCTTACTGCAGAGAAGTTGATTCCGCTCTTCTCCCCTCTCGCCCTTAGACCATCATCTGCAAATAGCATAAGCAGCAGTGCGTCCTCAAGTCACAGCGCCTATACTCCAGAGACCCCTCTGCCCCCGGTCGGAGGCGACCTCGCCAGCCGGCTGTCCAGTGATGAAGGGGAGATGGACGGAGCCGACGAACCTGAGAAGTTAGATTGTCAGTTCTCCACGCACCACCCCAGACCTCTCGCGGTAAGGCCTCCTGCTGTCCCTCCACACCCTTTCCTCATGCTTTGTGGCACCCTGGTGATCGCGGCAGAGATGCGCAGTCCCAAGGAAAGGGCGCCACGATAGCCTAACCAAAAGGCTTACTGGGAGGTTGGATGCCTGCATTGGAAATGCCCTTGACATCAAGAAGGAAAGGGAAGGGCTTCCAGCTGGTGACCACCCTTGAGACACCCAGGTGTCCGCTGTTCACCGTGAAGTGAGACTTCTTGAGAAAAGGTGTTTCTGTGAGTGCCCCTCTGGCCGTGCCCACCTAAACGTGGAGCCCCTGCTGTCCACAGTTAGCTGAGCCCACCTGCTCGGGAAAGTGCATTAGCAGTGTGTCGGGTACCAGCCCTCACTGGGGCTCTAGGTTTTACTGTTTTTATCATGACCACGTGGCACAGAACAGAGAGAGAGACAGAGGGGGGGATGGCAGGAGGAGGTATTTTGTGTCAGCATGACTGCTCATTAACAAGTTTCTTTTCCATTTCTTGGATAAGTCCACTTTGGTGCTTCAGAAGGTCACTGAACCCAAAGTGGGAGATTGAGGCATCAGCTAGAGGCTGGTTTATGTTTGCCTTTCGGGCACTGAGGAGGGAAACCCTTCTTGCAACCATCACAGAGCCAAAACCAGGAGCCTGGAACAGGGAACCCCATGTGTTTTCCTTGAGGGAAGCCTGAACAGATCTCGGACTGTCGGGGAAATCAGTCCTCTGTCAAGATGGAGTGAGTCTGCCTCCCTCCTATTTTCTGTGGTGAGGCAAGGCCCATGCCCAGTGTCTGGGGAAGGTGGCTAGCCGTGGCTCACCCACAGCCTGGGCCTTGTCTCTTGGCCAGTACAGAAAGAGTCAGGGACGGTGTGGCATGCTTGGCCGTGGCATTCTTCGCTTGGCCATGGTAGGAAACTCAGGTCACCTGCACAAGTACAAAAGACATGTCGTTGTCTCACACAGCAAGAAGTGTAGAGGTGTGAGCTTCCAAGCTGGCTTCAGTGTCTTCACAGTGTCACAGGGCTGAGGGACTGTCACCACAGGCATCTCTGACCCTCACACATGGTCTCAGTACATCCACTGCAGCTCCACTGTCATAGCATCACCTACTAGCATTCTGCAGAAGATGGAAAGAGACACACAGGAAAAAGGTCTTCTGAAATGCTGTGTTCTCTTAGTTAAAAAAAAAAAAACACCTCTGCCTGTGAAGCTCCTAGCAAACTTCCCCAATATCTTCCAGAACTGAGTCACATGCCCACCCCTACACTGTCAGAGAGGGAGAGAGTGCAGTGACACAGGATGGCCCGGCTGTGATTCTTCCCAAGGTTCTGGGAGGAGACACACCTCCCGTTACTGCTGATGGGCAGATAGCAGGACAAAAGCCTGGCCCTGTTAGCAAGCATAAGATAGACACAGGTGCGAGCGCACACAGAGGTGAGGCTGGTGGCCGGCAGGGTCTTCCACAGTGGCCACCGGGACGACCCACGGCTCTGCTGCACGCACGGTATGCCAGCGGAACAGGCCCCTTGCCAGCCACTGTGCCCTGCTTCTATGTGAAACTGTATGCACAGGCGGCCAAGACTGAAAGTGCCTCTGGCTCTAGAATATGAAAGAGACACAGGCTCTACTAGAAGGCCAGACGTCAGGACCTTTGTCCAAAGGAGATGAGCTGTGCTCCGGGTACTGGCGCGTTTGTGCTCCCCTAATGTTTTGCTGGTTTAAATGGGAAAGCCATGACTTGTTTCTTTGCTCTGTCCTCTCTCTCATGGCCAACTGACACCCTGAATTGTTCTTGTAATGCATGCTCATTCAGTGGGTCCTTGCAGCTGAGATGAAGGAAGAAATGATGTCTAGACCTGGATCGGCTCCCACAGATAGCTGGGACAGCGTCTGTGTCAGAGAATCCTCTTGTACATTTTCCAGCTTGGTCAAAAAAGAATCTAATAGGAAAGTTGCAGAGAAGTATTTTTCATCAGTTGTGGGTTTCATCAGATTTGGTGGGTGCCAGGATTTTAATGTAAAACCCCCCAAACACAAGTGAGACAGAACAAAGGGAAGGTCTTGCCTTTCCTCCCGAGAACTGTTCCAAAGGCTGGTTCCAGGACGGGTTTGTGGAGTGGGTGCCAACCCGGCGCTGAGTCTGGGACGGAGGCCAGGGAGCTGCTGGGAGCCCGAAGAGAAGCGGGGTTTGAGTTATAGAGCCATTTGCAGGCTGGCCTGTGCGCCAGTCCGGCCAAATGTCACCTTCGCAGAGGCCACCACTTGCATTTCTGTCTCCTGGCCTGCCAGGTGTCCTAACATCATAATCAAATGATGTTTACTAAGCGTCTGAATGCCCATATTTCAGCCATGTGTTTTAAATGAAACGGTTGGCTTTAAACCTCTCTGTGGGACCTCGTCTCCCTAATCCAGTCTTCACCCCAAACCTCTCTGATCCTCGTGCTGAAGCAGAAGAGAATGAGGTCCCCAGTCTTTATACATCAGTAGTCGTCAGGTATGTGGCCTTAGTCCTGTGACATCAAGCAGCCACGCAGTGATGCCAAGGTCAGATGGAGCTGAGTAGTAGGTGTGAGATGTGTCCTGGGTACCCGGCAGGGCTGCTGAGAGGTGCAGCTGAGGCCAGGCCTGGGAAGGGGAAGCGCTTAGCCCAGTTGGAAGTGAAGTGGCTCTGCGACATCAGACAGGACGGTGTGACCAGGATCACAGAACCAGCCATGCCCATGTGCCAGGATCCTCAGGAAAATGGATGGTGCTGGATAGATGCAGCTGAAAATCACCCAGGCTGCTGGTTATTTGTTGTTTCTCACTTTTCATTTTAAAACGCTAGCTCAGTCCTAGGAGTAAAGGATGCAACCCTCTGAGCCACAGAAAGCTGAATGTAGCTGAGGTTGAGTCACAGTGGGAGGTGCCACAGGTCCCAAAGCTCCATCCTCTACCAAACCGCAGCATCGCAAAAGTATTTTTGGCTTTGGTACTATTTGCTTCTTTCTTTTGAGTCAAACGGTACCCCTGTGTGTTTTTATGCAAATGTTATTTTTCTCTGTATGGTTTATATTAGCTTATTAACCTGTAATCAAAATTTAAATGTTTCTTTCCCCCTCACAGTTTTGCTCATTCGGAAGTCGCCTCATGGGACGAGGGTACTATGTGTTTGATAGAAGATGGGATCGTTTCCGATTCGCACTAAACTCCATGGTAGAAAAACACTTGAATTCACAGATGTGGAAGTAAGTGAGCACTTTCTGTGCAACATAAGATCAGAGCTGCCCCCAAGTTACCTGACCCCTAACTTTCTAAATGAAGGTCAGCAGCTGGCTTTTTACAGAGCAGAAAGACCCCCAAATCAGTATTCATGAATGTTAAATGTCAACCCTCCTTAAGGGTTTGCCTGAAGAGTTTTAGAAACACCCGTAAGATGTGCTATTTGTTTTGCCTTCTCAGAGATCGTTTTGTGTCGGTAATGATGAAAAAGACATTAGCAGAGCTCTTGTTTATTTAATAGCATTGGGGGCCTTTTTATTACTACTCAGAGCATCTAAGGATGTTAAGACTATGCTGCTGTTTGTTGATGCTACAATTGCAATGCTAAACTTTCGTAATGGTTACAGACCAAGCACTAGTTGCTTGCTGCCCTGTGGAAAATACATGTACAGTTGCCAACAGGGCAGACTGCGCACAATGCCGTCAGATGGGTTAAGTTTGTCTTTGGCCCTTCCCATCTCCCTAGGGCGCCCTCCTCTCCTCTCCTGTCCTTCTTTCTGCCCTAAACTGCAGCTTGCATTTCACTTCCCTAAGGACCCTTTATTCTCCTGCACTTCCCAGTGTGCTTACACTTTCACAGGGGGTTCCCAAAAAAGGAAAGAACCCTTCCCTAGGGGAGAACGCTATTGGGAAGGAGTAACAGGCCTAGGCCACCCCAAGCCACAAGGAGCTACACTTTGGCCACTTGGTAATGGAAGCCCAACCACTGGGTGTCCCACCTGTCAGTCCTACAAAGGGAGTCTCCAGAAGTCCCAATCCGGAGAAGTGCCCCCCGCACCTGCCCCAGGAAGCCCCCGAGAGAAAGAAAGGCCCTTGAGAAGCAGGAGGGAGCAGAAGCCACAAGTCCTGGAGGTCCCCTCCTCCCTGCCAGGCAGCTGTGGCTCCTCAGCCCCTTTACACGAGGAGCGCCTAGATGGTCCCCATCGGTCTGCCCCCGCTCTCACGGGGCACTTAGGACTCCAAGCTGACCGTTCATAGAAGGCAGGAAAGGGCCAGGAGAAAAGCCTGTGGTTTCTTCCCACGTGAGCCAGGTCTACCTGTGTCCCATCAGAACCGCAGCCAGGGGGCGCAGTGCGCGGGCCCGCCCCATCCTCGGTTCCGCCCGCCAGTGTGGTGGGAATGTGAATCCCGGACACGTGGAAGAAATGTGTTGATCTGTATTTCTTCGCTCCCTGCTGTCCTGTCAGCTCAAGCTCCATATTCCTTTCCTCCTCAGGCACAGAAGCCCGAGCCACCGGGCGTCAGGTCCCTCCCCCCTGTTCAGGACTTGCCTAACCAATCTGCTGTCACTGAGCAACATTGGGGCTGCCTGGGTGTCAACTCTGGAGAGCGTAGCACCCCGCTGCCCTCTCAGCCTCGCTGCCCAAACCCCAGGCCCCGACGGGCCCGAACCTGGAGGGATGGCAGCCGATGGGGGCGTGGAAGACATTAGGAAGAAAAAGAACGGCCAAGACTCTTTTTTCTTTAACAAGCATTTAACTCTGCATCAGGAGACGCCAGCACAGTATTCTCTTTCAGCCAGGTCAGCATCTGGATCTCCACGCCAGCTGGCGGGGGAGGATGGGCACTGTCAGGAATTGATTCACATCCGTGGGCTTTTGCAGGGGACTTCCCTAGGCAACGCGCACAGCCCGGCAGAGCTGCAGCCTGCTGCCCTTTGGCACCTGGAGAGAGAGCACAGAAACCGTTCAGCATAGCGGGCACGGGCTCCCGGGGATGGCCCCTTGCCCCTCTTCGCCCCTGCCCCGACTCCCTCCTGCCCGTAATGCCCACTCAGGATTAGTAGGGAGAAGAAAGGCACAGAGAGTATTCCAAAAGTCGCACCCATTCCAGTCCAGAGTGAGGGCCAGGTGAGATTTAGGCCTTTGGCCCTGCTGGTTGGCACAAGTTGATGCAATTGACACATGAATTAATGCAATTGAGTGGGGAAAATATAAATTGGGATGTTCAGAGTGGATCCCATTCAGGGTCATCGAGTGGGGTCCTCCCTATATGACCCATCTGGTATTTGTAGATAGCCCTTCACTATAAGTAACTGCCAAACCTCTCTACCATGTTTTCTACCTCTCCTTTAGCCTGGAAGGAAGGTAGAGATGAGGAAAGGTTGAGTGGGTGCCTGTAGTAAAGGCAGCAAGGTGACAAAGACAGCAAGAAAGTTTGCTGGCGCTGCCTGCTCCTGGAAATGCCCCCCAGCCCACTTAGGAAGGGGTTGAACAGTGCCAGACAGCTCTGAGGAGGTGTGCAGACCTCTCCGGGCTGATTCTATGGGAGTCCTTGCCCAGCATGCATAGTCCCTGACAATACGGTTATGTTGCTGCTGAGAATTCACCCGCTCACCGCATCCACCCACCTACCCATCCATTCATCTGTCCATCCCCTCATTCATTCATTGGAACAAGGGCTTTGCAGCTCCTTGATTAGTGCTGCCAGGAGCTTTTACATTCTTTAGACTCGAGAGGAAGTCAGTTCTCAAACGCCAGCATAGCCACTGAGGGGTTGGCAACACTTTTCTCTTAGATTTGATCTCCTCGGGCTGACATTTTCCAGAACACTGTGCTTCTGTGTTCAAGGGTTCCTCTGGGTTCCACCCTGAAGATGGAAGCCCCAGGTCCCACCGCGTTCGGGCAGAGAAGGGATTGTGCAGAGAGAGGAATAAGAGGAGAGCCACTTCCTTCTCCACAGAGCCTCTGTCCAGAGTCCCCGGGCATCTGGTCCTGGTGCCACAGCCAGAGGGCACCCTGCAGAGGAAAGGGGCAGGGTGAGGGCCTGTCCTGTAACATGTCCCGACCCCCGGCCCTCCTGCCACCAAATGCTGCTTTCAGACAAAGAAAGGGAGTTCCCAGCCACTGGTGAGCCTGAGCAAACCAGCTGCTCGGGGACGTGGAGGGGAGCCACATGAGGAATAGGAAGGAGCCAGCCTGAGAACGCTCAGCCCTTGAGCTCAGCTTTCTCTCCTGCAAAATCAGGAACAGGGCATGATCCCACCCACGGCTGCTGTGCCTCTCCTGGTCCCCAGAGCAACAGCAGAATCCACCTAGCCGGTAGATTATAAGCGGGAGCCATTCCCAGCACAAGTCAAGACAGTTTGCAGAGAGGCCCCAGGGACAGACCCCTGCCTGGTGCCAGCCTGGGCCCCAGGGACTCAACCTGAAGGCATCACTCTCACCCCCAGTTCCAGGGAGACCCAAGAGGGAAACAGTGGCTCTCCCCTTCTCCCCCTGGCTGTACTGCCCCCGCCTCCTCAACTGCTGCTTGTGTTCAGAACAAACTAGCAATTCCTGTTCCCTCCTCTGGATGCAGGAGAGGCCCTGCAATCTGACCTGCTTCTAATGGGGACAGAAAGACCTGTTGACAGGGAGCCCCATGATGACCCCTCTGAGCGAGAGCTGAAGTAAGCCGAGACTTAAAGTCTCAGGCATGAGCAACTCTGAGTCATTTCCCAAGCCCCTGACCCTCCATGACCACCAGCAGCCAGTGGCCACAAGCTAGCATGGAAATGCCTCTCCGTGGAGTAACCAGAGGAGGCAGACAGCCAACGCAGCAGGATGCAGGCTGTGGGGAGAGGGCCGTTCCCAGGATGCTCCGGTCCAGCGCAGGATAGGGGACGGGACGAGAATGGGGTTGCAGTGGGCAGAGGGGGAAGCTCTGGCCCGCATACCCTAGGTGGCCAAGCTCTGTCCTCCTGTTTCCTACTGCAAGCCAGAGCGTAAATGTGAAATGACCACTGCTCCTAAAAACTACCTCCCTCACTGCCAAACAAACCAAAACAGGGTGGGTAGGCTCCTGGGAGATACGTAGCCTAAGCAACAGCGCCTTTCACTCCTGAGCCCCAAGCTGGGCTCCAGTAGCCGAGCGTGGAGAACAGATCTGAAAACCTGCAAGCAGCAGCTGGCGTTGCAGCGGGGCAGCGTGAGGAAGGGCCATCCTCAGCCGTCCATCCTCCAGCTCCATCCTCCATAGTCCGGTCCCGGCCGGGTGTCCTGTCGCCCCGACGCGCTCGCGTCATCGAGCCTCCCGAGCAGTGCCAACCCGATGTCTCACTGTTTCTCTCTGGCTCTTCTCTCGTGTTTAGGAAGATCCCTCCTGCGGCAGATAGCCCCCTGCCCTCGCCAGCAGCCCACATCTCCACCCCCGTGCCAGCATCCGTCTTGCAGCCTTTCAGCAACCCCAGTGCTGTGTATCTTCCTTCAGCTCCCATCAGCTCGAGACTCACCTCTTCTTACATAATGACATCCGCCATGCTCTCAGACGCAGCTTTTGTGGCATCGTCGGACCCACGCGTCCTCATGTCCCACACCACAGCTTTCCCCCATGTGGCCGCAACCCTCAGCATCATGGACTCAACCTTCAAGGCCCCATCTGCCGTCTCCCCGATACCAGCCGTCATCCCTTCCCCATCCCACAAGCCATCCAAAACCAAAACCAGCAAATCCTCAAAAGTCAAAGACCTGTCCACCCGTAGCGACGAGTCTCCAAGTAACAAAAAGAGGAAGCCGCAGCCTTCGACTTCCTCCTCCTCTTCCTCCTCCTCCTCCTCCTCCTCCTCCTTGTCCCTACAGACCTCCCTCTCGTCTCCACTGTCAGGGCCCCACAAAAAGAACTGTGTTTTGAATGCCAGTTCCGCTCTGAACTCCTATCAGGCGGTGCCCCCCTATACCAGTCTGTCTGTGCACAGCTCCAACAATGGGGTGAGCCCACTCAGTGCCAAGCTGGACCCCTCAGGACGGACCTCGCTGCCTGGCGGCCCCGTGGACATAGTGAGACAGGTGGGCACGGTGGGCGGCAGCAGTGACTCCTGTCCTCTCTCTGTGCCCTCCCTCTCGCTCCACGCAGGGGACCTCTCTCTGGCCTCACACAATGCTGTGTCTTCTCTGCCCCTCTCTTTTGACAAATCAGAAGGAAAAAAGCGTAAGAACTCGAGTGCTAGTAACAAAGCCTGTAAAATCACTAAAATGCCTGGTATGAATAGCGTTCACAAAAAGAACCCGCCCAGCCTTCTTGCACCGGTGCCCGATCCCGTTAACAGCACCTCCTCTCGGCAGGTAAGGGACCACCTGGCACTGCCTTCATTGGCTGTGGGGGGCAGGGGGAGCTGGGCAGCGCCCATGCTTGGCCAGGTGGCTCAGACAGGTGACGCAAGTATGGCTCCTTTTCTCGGGTCCCGCGTAGGCCGTCTGCACCATGTGCTGTGAGAGCAGTTTATTTAAACAGTGCTGTGCATGAGGCACGGTGCTGAGCACTTTGCAGAGATCATCTCATTTAGTCCTGGCTTCCCACCCAGTGTACCTGGTATCGTCACCATTTCACAGATGGATAAACACAGAGATTCTGACTTCCCTGCTCCACTTCTATTTTATGTCTTGGGTTCCGAGGACCAATTTCATTAAAGAGTTCTGTCACTTAGAAGTTTGATCTGATCTATTGCCAGCCCCTCAGGAAGAACCTGGGCCCCAGGCAGTTTAGATAATGCCAGGGTCCCACCTGGGGAATGCGTGGCAGCCTGTGTGTGCGCCTGGCTCCTGCCTGGATGACTGGTCTTCTCACTTCTGCAGGCTGCCTGGACCCCCCACGTCCTCCTAATAGAACTGTCCTCCTAATGTAAAACTGCAGCCACCCCCTCAGGACAGAGCAGCACCCTGCCACGGTGCAGCAGGAGCATGTGTTGTGCAGAACCCAGGAACAGGTGCGGGGCCCCAAAGAAACTGTTTCCCTGGGCTGCGATCCCACCCTCAGATCCAATCTGTCCCTGCTGCCTGGGGGAACTGCTTAGGAAAGGCCACTCCCACCCCACCCCACCCCACCCAGCCGTGAGAGCACAAGGCACAGCCCGGAGGCCTGAGGCTTACCACCACGGAAGAGGTGGGCCAAGCTGCAGGGTCACCCCTGAGTCTGGAGATACGGGAGGCAGCTGTTACAAGGTGCTGTAATGTTTTAAGTCACTGCGTATGAGACTTGCTAAAACCCCACAAAGAGCACCTCCTGGGGGACCCCCAAATCACAAGCACACACGTGCAACAGCAAGTGTGCAACCTAAGGCCCGGAGAGCTGCAGCCATGGCCAAGGTGGGAGGAGGCGAGACCTGGGCCTCCTGCTGGTGCCTGGCTCCACCCCGACTCCTCTGGTCTAGGGATGGGGGGTAGCGCCCACAGGGTCCTCCCTGGAAACAGCTGCTGGTGTGTATCACCTCCAGTCCCAGGCCGGAGAGCACAGCCAGGGCTGCTCAGCCTGGAACGTGCACACTGATGAGAGTCGGGTCTCGTGACCATGCAGGTGTGGAGTGAGCAGGCCAGGTGGAACCCAGGAGGCCAGGTGGCCAGCGTGCTTGCAGGCGGGCCTTCGGCTTTTGCAGAGCACGCCTGGAGCAGCCAGGCCACCGTGTCCCATTCATTTCAGATGAAGTTCCAACAGTGGGCACCTGCGATGGTCTCCGTTCCAGCTCTTCGGGTATTAACTCAGTAACTAGCTGTTCGTGCCCCCATTTTACTGATGCATCAACCACAGCACAGCACAGGAACTTACGCTTGGTACCCAAAGTCACATGCAAGTGAATAGTAGGGCTGGGATTTCAACCAGGCCTTCTGGCTCTCGAGTCTGGGCCCTTGGCCTCCACCAAGCACGTAGCCTGCAGAAGCTGGCCCTTGGCCTCCACCAAGCACGTAGCCTGAAAATGCTCAGATAACTCACAGATCTGCCAAAACCAGGGGCAAAAGAGCAGAGATGCCTCCAGCAGAGGGTGCGCATCAGAAAGGAATTTAAAAAAACAATCAGGCCAGGCATGGTGGCACACATTTGTAATCCCAGCACTCAGGAGGCTGAGGCAGGAGGATCGTTGCTAGTTCAAGACCAGCCTGGGCTACGAGGTGAGCTCAAGGCCAGCCTGAACTGCATAGCGAGATCCTGACTCAAAAAGACAAATAAATAAATAAAGAGAATCAGTGCACTTAATGCTGCCTGGGGCCTGGTCCACACTGGTTCCCTCCTGCAGGTGATGGCTGAATGCTGGTCACCAGGCCCACGGAGAAAAGCCTTTGTCTCTGTTCAGGGCCACTGCCATTGGTTTCCATGTGCTTTGGAAGGCAAAGGCCTGGCGGGTCCATTCTGCTTCTGTTAGAGGTTGGGAAGAGACAAATTGAGGTTCCATCTACTTATATCTGAGAGCATCTGTGGAAGGCCAGCATTTGCCACCACGGGATGAAACTGACCAGGAAACCAGACTGAGTGAAGGGCAAGTGTCTTTCTGCAGAGGCAGTGAAGTGGAAGAGGTGTGGATAGGCCACAGGCCAGCGCTGGCTTTGCAGATGAGCAAGGGACAGGAGGCTGCTCCCTGAGGACTGCTGGAAGGGCCACCCACCTCATGCCCCCAGTCCTGCCAGGACCCTGCTTGGCAGAGTGGCCTCCTCACCTGGCTTCCTGCACTATCTCCTGCTGAGGATACCTGACCAGGAGCAGGCTCATACCTGACCAGGAGCAGTCTGATCTTAGGCAGATTACCTCTGTGGGTCTCAGGTGTTTGCAGCCGCTCTGGGGAATCTGAGCTCAAAACAAGATGGGCCCAGGGGTACAGTCAGAGTCGGATGAGCTCGTGGGCTGCTTGGCCACAGGTGGGCAGGCTGGGCCCCTGCAGAGATCCTGCGCTGGGGCAGGGAGGGTTCCCAGCGAGGCCTCCACCCTGAGATGCAGTCTGGCCACCAGGGGACCTCGGAGTCGCTGTCACTCTCAGCTCCTACCAGCATGAGGGACGTGGCGCACCAAACAGCCCTCTCCTCCCCCGGCGACGTGTGGTGTGTCTGTCTAGCTCCTCCGCGCCGCCTCGGGGGTCTGAGCAGGCTTCACTGGTGTCTTTCAGGTTGGGAAAAATAGCAGCCTAGCTTTGTCACAATCCAGTCCTGCAAGCATCCCCAGCCCAGGACACAGCCGACAGGTAAGTCACTGGGGAACAGAACCCAGAGCCTGAGTCACAGTGGGAAGAACGGGCATGGGGTGAACCCACGTCCAGCTCTCCCCAGCGCTTAGAGAACAGCTTCCTGGCTTCCACGCCTAGGCCTTCTTGTCACTAGTTGTGCGTCCTTGAGCAAGTCCTGCATCTCCTTGTCTAGAAAGTGGAGATCATAATGGTTTTCACCTTGGGGCTTCTGTGAAGATTAAAATAACTTATTCACACAAAGTCTCTTGAAAATGCCTGGCATGCAGCAAACCCACAAGTGCTGGCTATTATTATCATTATTCTTACCAGCTGTCTGATCTTAGGCAGATTACCTCTGTGGGTCTCAATTTTTGCATCTGTTAAATGGCCAGTTGATGCCTGCCTTCCTTGGGGCACTGTAGGACCTACTCAGGACACTTCTGATTAAAGGGCCCAGACCCATAGAGGTGTTTATAATGGACAGTGGAGGCTGTGTAAGCCTGAGCGAGACAAAGGGCTTTCGGGGAGGGGGGAGTCCGGGGAGCCAGGGAGGGTACTGGGGAAACTGTGCCTCTGGAGCATGCCTGGAAAACGGCTACGTAGCTGTGTTGTTGCATTGTCTTAGACGCGCAGTACAGTTTGTAGACAGTGAATAGCAAAGTGTTTGTATTTTACCTTTGAGATTTCCCCACAAACTAGGTAGTATTTGAGTGAAGATTATGGAGGGACTGTGGAGCCCCAGGTGCAGGGGGGCCTCCCCTTTTGTAAGCAGCTGTGGGTCTGTGCTAACCTGGAGGGGCTCCGAGCACAGGGCTTCGCTGGCTTGCTGAGTGTGTCTGCCCTCACCTAGCGAGCAAGCAGGTGAGCCCGAGAGCCCACCCAGAGCCTCAGGTTCCCCTGCAGGGTGTGCAGACCCCAGCAGGCCAGCCTGGACATGTGCATAATAGTACAGCAGAGACACCCTGTTGAGCCTTTCCTACAGGCCGTGTGGGAAGCCCTTTGCATACATTACATGTGTGGGCTGTGTGTGCATACAAACTGGTAGCATCCTGGATCATACTCAGATGATACAGGAGGGCCAGGCATGATAGTGCACACCTGTAATCCCAGGACTCAGGAGGCTGAGGCAGGAAGATTGCCAGGAGGTCAAGGCCAGCCTGAACTACACAGTGAAACCCTGTCTCCAAAAATTAATTAATTAATTAATTGATATATAGATGAGTGCTGTACTAATAAGCTACTTGAACCCAAAATCTGTATCTCCAAAGCCTCTATGTTTAATCCCACGCTATAGGTTATGTCGGATATGTTATGTTACAAGATAGGTTATGTAGGAAAAAGTGAACCAATAGAGACAAGAAGTGAAGACTTCAGTTATTCCAGACCTCTCTCCTGGAGGAGAATTCTGTGAACATCTATGGCATCTGCCTCTGATTTCCCTCCCCCTGTGGGGCCGGCATGCCTGTTTGCATGGAGACCTTTACCGGATATGCAGCCCCTGGTGCCTGCCCCAGCAGGCCTTTGCCATGTGTGTGGGAATTGTGGTGTTATCCTTTTTGCTCTAGAGGAAAAAACTGAGGTGCTGTCCCTAAATTCTCATGGGTCATCCCAAATGTATGGTTTTGAAAACGTTTTTCTTTTCTTTCCTAGAAGAACACAAACAGAATGGGCAGGATAAGGACTCTTCCATAACAAGACTGTGAAGCCACTTCCAAACCAGTTCCTGGTCATGACCCACCCCAGGCGGCGGGAGGAGGGAGGGGAGTGGGCGCAGGGGAGTCTGTTTCCTGGGCCCTGCCTGTGCTCTGGCCTTTCTTCTTCTCTTTCTTCTTTTTTTCTTAATTGACCAATTTTTAGTTTTGAAGAAAAAGGCAAAAGAACATGAACTTGAGATTTACAGAAAACAATACCAGTGTTTTCTTTTTTTTTTTTATTTGCCATGTTTGTACATTCTTCCAAATGTGGGGTCCGCCACCCCAGCTCCTGATGCTACTACTGCACCATCATCTTGCTCAGGCCCTGAGGGCGGAGGTCGCAGAATGTCAGTTCCAGGTCGACACTGTCTGAAGCTCTTGAACTTCCGCGCGTACAAAGCCCTTTTCCTTCCTTGTCTTCTCCTGCTCGTTCTCTTCCATCCCCCACCTGCCGCTCAGTGGTCCCCCATTGGCCATCAGAGGTTGCTAGCTGTCCCCAGCTCCCCTGAGACAGCGTCCTGGGGAGAAGAGCAGAGGATGGGTGGGGTGCGCTCAACAGGCTGTGGTAGGCCCCCTCGGCTGGAGCCAAATGCTAGAGACCAAGTGGAGAACAGTGGCCATTTAATGATGTGATCTGCCTGACACAACTGACCGGTGGTGCGTGGGGCAGGGGCAGAGCGATGTGGGAGGGTGGCAGGAAGCAGAGCATGGGGGATAAGGCCCCTTAAAGGATGGTAGGAGTCAGGCGACTGTGATGGCCTGCACTTATCCGGAATCCACTCTGCAGAATCCCTTCCAAGGCGCAGTGAGTGTGCGAATTCTGCTGGGTGGGCCAGAGCTGGAGAAATCCCAGGGAAAAGGCCGTTCCCAGAGGAGCAGTAGTGATCAGAGCTGCTGCCTGGGGAAAGCCTCTGGGATGACTGGGTGTGGAACCCCTGGTGAGAATAAATACTAGCATTGCCACACACCACAGATGAGCTTGCGCTCCATCCTCAGACGCCCAACGCAGACACCAGGGCTGAGGACGGGCCACCCCTGGTGAAGAAGACCCATTTGGAAGAGCTGAACAACAGCCCGGAGTAGTGCCGCTGTAAAGCAATTCACACTAGAGCTTTGAGAGAAAAGGCACGTAGCTCTGGTAGGGAATCCAGTCAGGAACGGGGCTCACAGTGTGCAACGGGTGACAGAATAGATCGCAGAGGTACCACAAGGATCTGCTCCACCCTGAACCCAGAAATGAATGCATCTTTCACAGCTGGGCACCCACCTCATCCCCACCCTGACTTCTCCTTTACTTTCCCGTCCCGCCAACCCAAAGATCAGACTACTGTTAAGTTTCACGCGCTTGGAATCCACAAAGACGGGAGGCAAATGGAGCGATCTGAATCAATGGAAATGCACTGACAGTGTTTCTTATAGGATCACTAAATTTTTTAATATAAAATGAAGATTTTTTTTTAAATCAGGAGTTGATATTAAGTACCAGGACATTAGTTCAGATGATTTCATTTTTTATTTCTACAGTGTTAAAAGTGCACTTATATGCTGGTTTATTTAAATCTTGGGGAAAAAAAGACTGCAAATTAAAGGGATGATTGTTACTTTTTGTTTGTTTGCTTGTTTTTTAAAAGGTTAAGGCAGATTTTAAGACTTACAAATGTTTAAGAAATTATAAACAAGGTTAGACCCTTTGGAAAAAAGTTCAGAAGATATTCTTAAAGAAAAATTTTATAGTGTTAATTTTGTAATAATTTATGTTTTACTATATTACAGAGCTAACTGACCAGAATAGTTTCAGAAACAATATGAAACTTAGGAAAGTTTAAGCAATGTTTATATTTTTAAAATGTTCTTTGAATTATGTTTTTATTGTACATTTCTTCAGACTGAAAAGTGTGTACATATCTTTGTTATTTTTGCACAATTTTTGTCTTGTTCGGTTTTAGAAGTCTATTGTTTTTTATAATTTATTTTGAGTTGTAAAACTTGCAGGAGTAAAAACAAACAAAAAAAAATCTCAGCAACAAAATGACCCTCTGATTTATAAACTCTTAAACTCGGAGAGGGGAAACAAAGGTTGAGAGATTAAGTGGCTGCTTCTGAGATATATTGTCTCGACAGGGACGGAGGAGCTACTCAACAGGTTTAAACATTTTTGCGCTCTAGTCTCCAGTCGGAAGCTGGAATAACAGAGGCTCCCCACCAAATGCTGCTTACTTTCTCAAAAGACTGGCTCTGACCAAGGTGAGGATACTTCTGGAAAACTGAGCAAAAAGGGAAAACCCACGGTATTTCTTCCTTTGCAATCAACCACAGGTTTACTTTATAATGATGTATTAAAAAAAAAAACTTGCAGCTTGAAAAAATGGAATGCAAATAAAAGGTTTTCTTTGGGTTTGTTTTCACGGAGTTCAACTGGACCAGCCTATCACGCATTATTAGGGTGATCTTCAGTCCTTCGGTTCTGCACACCCCACTCGGTCTTTTCTCCCAGCCCCTCGACTGCACACACCCCCATTTTCCTGAAGATCTCCCGACTTGTCGCCAGCCATAGAGGCGCGGGAAAGCTCTGGTTGTTAAGCATAACGCAATGCATAGACCTGTCAGCCATAAAATTTAAAAAAAAAAAAGCGACTTGGATTACTTGTATGCCTTCTTTTGTATCAATGTACCAATTGTAAATAACGCTGATCAATCTTTGTAGAGAATAGTTTATACAGCATATTCTATTATTGCTGATTCTCAGTGAACTCTTGTTTTAAAAAAAGGAAAAAAAGAAATTTTCTATTTACACCTTCTATTTTGTTATGCTGTCGGCCCATGGCACTTTAACAAAACTCTGTGGGTTTTACATAGCTGGTCAGTCATGGGATATATTAAATAACTGTTGTTGCACAGACAAGAATTTGCACCTGCTCATTTGTCCTTTCCTACTACCGATTTTAGAATCTTTTCCAGAAGAATTTTGAAGAAAGCATGTCCAATCATTCTAAACAAATGCCACACTTGTGAGTGGGTTTCTTTTCTACGATCCATATTTTGTAACACTATTTTCCTTCTTTGTCCCGTATCCTTTATGTCTTAGCACTATCAGATAGAATCCATTCCATGCCTGTGATATTGTAAGCAGAATAAATGTCTGAAGTAGGTGTAAATAGTAAATTCTATGGCTTACAGTTTTAAAAGGAAAGAACAAACGTGTATCTATTGATACTGAGTGGTTCGCCACCAGGCCTGGAAATATTCTCCAGTGAGCGATTGTATTTTTTTTTTTGCTTTTTTTTTTTTTTGTAACATGGCTTTGTAAATAAAATAATTTATATGTTTGTAAAACGTTGTCTTTGGGTTTTCATACAATTGAAATTTTGAGGGTTGCTTTATTTCCTTGCGGGTGAAGGTCTTCTCACCGGAAGAGCCTTTTCTTTGGAGCATGTGTTTGCAGGAGACGACAGGAAGTAGATAGAAGGGAAGGTGGAGAATTCACTAAATAAATATTTGTGGATCCTCCCCACTGGGCCTGCCCCTGAGCTAGGCTCCCTGTGCTCAATGAGGGGAAACACGCAATGCCAGCTGCTTGCTGGGAGCAAGCCAGCTGGGGAGAGAGCAAATCGACAGCCAGCCCCATGTGCAATTACTGATTGTGGCAAATGCTGTGGTGGGAAGGGTGAGTTCCGTGAAGAAGAAAGTAACAGGAGAAACTGGTCGAATGGGCAGGGAAGCGGTACAGGAGGGAGCTGTTGGGAGTCCCCTCTGAAGAAGAGGCTGGAGGCAGAGGTGGCCCAGGGATGAGGAAGTTCTCAGAGGGCCCATTGTGGACAGCAGGGGCGAGAGAGGGCTGCGTGTGAGGGTCACAAGAGGCCTTGCTGAGCTTGGACTCGGTGCGCATGTCGCAGGGATCCTGTACAGGGCTGCCGTGAGGCTGTGGGTGATCTGCTCTACTGAAAGTGCTAAGTGGATGTGTGGAGAACCAGCTGGGGGATCTGAGACCGGTGAGAGAATACCCACGTAGTCACAGGATGGCAACCGTCCCTACAAAGAGAAGTAAATGGGGTCAAGATACATTTTCAACATTAAATCAGCCAGACTTGCTTAGGGGATGAGTTGCAGGAGGGCACTGACATTGGCATGCCGTTTCTTCCCATGTGAAAAACCAAAGTAGCAGAGCGGGTGGGGCCGATTTAGCATTTTATGAAGATCAGGAACTCTATCTTGTGTCCTTCATCTAAGCAACCTGAGCTGATCTCTGATCATGGTTTCACCTGAACTCAGAAAACTCACAGAATCGTGAATATTAAGAGATGCAAATCTTCTTAGTCACTTCAAGAGCACAGTGGAACTTCTCAGGCCATCAAGGTTACACCTGTCCTGAAAGCCGTCGCTTCACAGAAGCAAGGTGTGCCACTGCAGCACTGCAGTGGTAATGTTGCAGTGGGCCACACTGGGGGACTGGACCCAGGGTCAGTGGCCCGTTTGCTGCAGCTTGTTGAAAAGGCAGAGTTCTGCTGAGGTGGGTTCGGTGGTCAGTGAGCACATGCGGGAGAACAAAGCACCCAAGTGTGCATGGCACTCACAGTGCACTGAGATGCCCCCGCAGAACAAGAGCACACGGTCCCTGAACCAGAAGGGGAGGCGGCACCTAAGAAAAGGATGTCCCAGGACAAACCAGAGAGAGAAAAACAGCCTAGGAATGAATGCAACATAAAATAAAGGCAAAAAAGAGTTTGGTTTTGTACATATATGTGTGCTCCGTAGACAACTGAAAGGTCTAAGCTGTTATGTCAAGAAGGCTTGGTATGCACAACACTTAGACCAGCAGCATGGGGCGCTGAGGGGAGGATGCAGGTGTCACAGCCACAGGTATGGACAGGTCCCTGGAGAGACTGTAACAGGAGACAAGCAGACACCCACAGATTAGGTAGAAGCTGAGAGCTGGCAAGGGGTCCGAGGATGAAACACAAAGAAATGGTGCCCTGGAAGCCAGGACTGGAAGATGCTTCCAGAAAGGTGAAGTTGGCTGAATCCAACACTGCTGCAAAGCATGAGAGCGGCAGCATCTGGGGTTCCCAACATGGCAGTCACGGGTGACTGCTGGTTTTCTAGAGTCACCCTACAAATTGCCGAAACGTTGGAGGCTTGAAAGAAAAACTTAGTCTCTCACAGTGCTGAAGGCCAGATGTCTCTAGACTGCCAGAGGCCTTAGGGGAGACTCCTTCCTTGTCTCTTCTAGGTCCTAATGACTGCTACATTCTTTGGCGTTCCTTGGCATAGAGACATGCCATCCTCTCTGTCTCTACTGTCACGTGGCCTTCTCTCCTGAGTCCCAAGGCTCCTGCATCTCAAATGCCCCACTGCTTTCTCTTCGAAGGACATGGGTCTCAAGGCCCATCCTAAATTCTGGCTGACCTCTGGCCATGCTTAACTTCATAGTGTTTGCCACCCCTCTTTTCCAAACAAAGTCCTCCTCACAGGTTCTGCGGCTCAGGACTCGGGTATGTCTTTTGTGAAGTTACAGTGACCTTCATGCAAGTGTGATGGAGACTGAGGGGAGGAGATGGCAAAGCCAGACTGGAGCGTTCTGAAGACTGAATGAAAACCAAGCAAGGGAATTCAGGAAGCATAGGCAATCCTGAAGAGGTTAGAAGACACAAGGGCGTCTTTGTAGTTGGGGTTTTGGTTGTTTTTCTGTTTGTTTTGTCATTTTGTTTTTCAAAGAAGGAGAGACCAGATTGGTTCATATCATCGTGGAGGGGTAACAGAAGAGTGAGAGGTTGGAGAAGCAGGAGAAAGGGGTGATCAGAAAGATAGAAAAGTTGTTGAGAAGGTGAGAGGGAGGCACTGCCTGGCCTTTGCAGGATGAGGGGCTCAGAGTGATGGAGAAGAAACGCGCTTGTAGTCTCAACAGTGGGAAGATGAGGGGTGAGGCCTCCCAGCGAGTGAGAGGCCCCGTGATGTGCACGAGAGGCTGAGGGAAGTTTGAGAAGAGTAAGGAAAGAGTGAAATAATTACTGAAGAAACCAGATTGCCAGGCAGTATTGAGAGCGCTTTGAGAGCTGTGATAAAAGAAAGATCCTGACATGGAGAAGACAGTTTAGACACTGTTTGAGGACACCAAGAAGCAGAATAGAGCCTTTTGGAGCCCGAGATCTCAGGCAAGCTGAGTGTGGTGGTGCAGGCCTCGAATCTCAGCGCTCTAGGAGGCTAAGGCAAGAGGGTCATAAGTTTGCAACCAACCTGAGCTTCATAGTGAGTTACCTAGCACCTGTCTCAAAATCAAAAATTTAAAAAGGGCTGAAGGTGCAGCTCAGTACTGGTGACAGAGACAGAGATTCTAGGCAAATGAAAGCAAACTTATTGTCATGTTGCCTCAGCCCCAAGGGAATATTTTCACTCATATGCAGAGCAGACAACCAGAGAAACAGAATTGACGCCTGGCACACAGTGGGCCTTGTGTAGAAGTGTAAATGGGATTATCCACAGCCACATCCGTGTGGCACTTCTAGCATCAACAGTTGCCTTCGTCCACCTGTTCTCTAAAGTGTGCTTATGACTCGCCACCCACCATGGCACTGGCCTGGGTGACTTCTAACCCTATTGTGAAAGGGGCCTGTGCATTCTATTTTGTCCAAGTCCAGTACTCTTAGAAGGCGCCTTCAAAATGGCCAGAGGCTTGGAGAATCCATATGAAAACCAGATTGATTGATTGATTGATTGATTGATTAAAGGCCCCTTTGTATAGCTGAGGAAACTGAGACTCACATAGGCTAAATGAGGCACTAGGAACATGCAGCTGGCTGATGGCTGCCCTGTTCTCCCTCAGGGCAGTTCTCTCTCTATTGTCCCTCACTGCTCCCTGTAAGTATATACTCTGTCGACTTTTATTTTCCCCCAATTCTGGGCATTAAACCTCAGGCTTTCCCTCCCCACTGAGCTACAATCCCCAGCCCTTTTCCTGCCTTTTTTTCCAGACAGGGGCTCATTAAATTGCTATGTAGCCCAGCCTGGGCTCCAACTAGCAATCGCCTTGCCCCGGCCTCCCTGAGAGCTGGGATTACAGGTGTGTGCCACCATACACAACTTCTACTCATAGATTTTTCTTCTAAGCCACTGTGAATTTTTCCATAAAATCTTTAAAAATTCTGTCTGTCTCCTAATTGGTTACTCAGGTTTCTATAATTTATTTTACTGAATTTAAATATTTTCCTGCTTTTGATTTTTCCCCAGGAGGCAGTAACCGTTTGCCTCACGGGATATTTCTTGCTCTCTGCTCTGGTTGGAGCAATAGGTTTTATGAATCCTTGTTTCTGAGCAAAGTACCCAGGAAGGTATTTTAATGTTTATTTTCCACCTTTTACATCTTCCTAAGCCCTTCCACTGGGAAAGTCAGTGAGGACAATGCAAAACGCTGAACGCCTGCACCAGTCCCTCACAAGCCTGGATCTTCACTGGAAGAGCACCGAACTGGGAAGCCTGCCAACAGCGCGGAGGCGCTGCGGTTACCAGACAATTCAAACCACAGTCTCATCCGAGGTCACTGGTGCTGGGATGCTCCCTTAATTCAAAAAAGGGTGGAATTCTTTCTGGCTTTTCCCTTTACCTTCAAATATGTGAGTGAGTTTTTAATCCAAAGGCATCATCACAAAATCAATGGCTTCCTCTGCAACTGGAACAAGCAGCGTGGAGGCTGCCATTACCGCAGGAGCTTTGACAGTCTCCCTTAGGTTTTCACTTTCTCCCAGCCTCCCTCACTTCCCTGGCGGATTTCCCTGCCAGTTGTATCACTAACCTGCTCCCTCCCCCCGCATATCTCTGCCAGGCTCTGCAATAATCCAGACACCTGCTGGGTGGGTACAATTCCAGCACAGACTTTAAAAAGGGCAAAGGCAGAGCCCCGCAGAAATAAAGAGGATGGGAAGAAGGAGAATGGAGGTTCTGGGGGGATTCTACCCAACGAATCTGACGCATGCCTGTCTTTGCTTTTCAGTTTTTAATCGGCCTCTGGGTCTGTCCAGTACCATCAGCTGAAAAACTTGACAGTCGCTGCAGCATCCAACACAGACAGGACGGCTGCTCTGCAGCGGGATGGGCCCACAGAGGTGCTACAGGCCCAGCTCACCTGCACGCGCTCTGAGAATGCTCCTGCCAGTCGCGCTGAGCCCGGCACTGCTTAACATTTTCATTAACGAACTGGCATTCCAAGTAACTTTGTGAATTAAAACTGAAAACAAACACGCTGATTTACAGAAGCGTGGCTTTGCGGGGCACAAGGGGGGCCTCTGGAGAGCTGGAAACGGGC